CATGATCATTTTATCAAAATCATCCTCAGCCCGTGTTGCTGAAACCAAGGGTTTTGCTTGCTCCTCCAATATATTATCCTGATCATTCGAAATCTCCTCTTCGGAATCGATGATAGAGTCATCCTGGTCACCTGGAAATTCAGTGTTGGGATTTTTGGAGAAATAATCAATAATAGTTTGAATTTGACTATCGGATAATTCTGCAATAGAATTCGCACTATATGTTTTGATATATTTAACCTTATCTATTCCTATCTTCTCAAATAATTCGTATATTTTTCTTGATCTCTGAGTTTGTTTTTGCAATGTATTACGTTTAGTGCCAAGTTGTGTAGTAATAAAATCATAGATTTGCCCTTTCGCTTTTTTCTCGCCAATCCGATTATCAAATTCAATGATATAGTAGTACCAGCATAAAATTTCGTTTTGATTGGCCTTTTTGGTTTGATCTTCTGCGTCACAAGCTTTCTGGTACAAGCTGGCTAAATTTAATAAGACTTTACTTTTCGATACAGAGAGTATAGTTGTCTTACCATTATTTTCGGTCACATGATTTTCACTGACGGGCGTCAGCAAAATTTCAGTCGCATGATTTTTCTCAGATGTTGAAGTAGCCGTGAAATCAAATACATCCTTAACAATATTCTCTGCTACTTTCTTATGTAATTGAGACTTTTTGTCCTGAGAAGACACGTCCTGGCTGGATAACTCACGGAGTTTCTTCTCTTTATTGTGTTTCCTTATCCCATCACTAACACTTTTCTTATATGCTTCATCCAAGAAATCATCTGTCTCTTTATCTTCCATAGGTTGACATACATCAGAATTGGATGTGTTATCAGACGTATTTGATGGCCTTGCCAGGTCCCTTTGGGACCCCATCTTTTCTAGTTGCCTTTCGGCGACAGCATTATTAGGATTCTTAAAAGAACTGGTATTAGTTGAAGTTTGTTTGATTTCTTTGATATCGTCATCTAATTTAGCAATAAGGTTGGTCTTTTCTTTATCTCTCTGCTCTAAATTTGTGAATCTGGCTTCATGTTCTTCCAAAGCGCGCCTTAATTTCACATTCTCAGCTTTAACTTCGATATTCTCAGCCTTGACTTCAGCATTCTCCTTTCTAAGTTCAGTAATCTCGACTAAGAGCTTCGAATTTAATTCCCTTAATGAATCAATGGTGTGAGTATTTGCCATTATTTTTTATAAAATATGGATATATTCAAAATAAAGAAATCACGTGGTTTTCACTGACGGTCGTCAGCGAAATTTGCAAAGAAAAATTTTTTTATTAATACTGCCTTCTCGCAATTTTCGCTCGAAGCCAGAGAGTAAGTGATCACTATATGCTGAACACATATGTCCAAGAAGGTGATTACTTTTTTTCTTTTTTCGAGCTTGTGAGAGTGAAACTAAAATACATGACGTCTATACTATTGTCTGCGGACTAATGCCTGCGTGAAAAATTTCTCGCTATCACTTTACCAAAAAATTCTCGATCATACGCAAGTTAATAGACATCGATAGCAATACAATAAAACGAATAATAATAGTGACTTTATGATAACGTTGTGTTATGTAAATAGGTGGGATGTTTCTATGACACCCATGAGTAA